ACAGAGTTGCCAAGATCAGTAGTTTCTGTTATCAAGTCACATTAGAGTGGCTAGTGTAGAGGTGATCTATTTCTGGTGCACTTTCGAAACATATTAGGATATATATATCATTGCATCCGAGTGATTCATACGAGGATAAACATGAAGTCACTCTGGTCTCATGACTGAGATAATTTCACACACACACACACACACACTTTCTTTTTCTTTGAGCAATGGTGGGACATAGGAGGCTGTTGAGGAACAAGGATGATGTTGCTTTGCAGATTCTTGAGCTCTGTGTCAAGACTAGAGTAGAGATAAAACAAACCTAAATCCATTTTGTTTATGTTCAAATTGGTTTGGAATATTGATGCATTTTTATTTTTTGTTCAGATTGCAGGATTTGTGTGTGGAATGCTAGTGATGGCCGTTTGGTACATTCCTTGACTGGTCATAGTGAATCTGTAAGTTGTGCACTGCACTAAAATTTCAGCTGTTTTCACAGAGCGCTCAAAATTAAAATTCAGAAATGCTACCACTGAAACACAAACAAAAAAGGCCAACTCTAGCGTTTTTTTTCCTTCATTTGAGCAATGAGTTTGTCACCACACCAACACCATAGTTGATGAGGTCTAAATCTATTCTTTCAGTGAGGAGTAGATTAGGTGAAGTGAATATTTTGATTGCCTTTGATGTTCTTGTCTTGTTTGCCAAAGAATTGCTGTTGGATCTTTTGTTTTTATGCAAGCTTATGTTGTTTGTATATATAATTCTGAGCTTGTTGAGTTTAATGCAGACGTATGTTTTGGATGTTCATCCTTTTAATCCCCGTATTGCAATGAGTTCTGGGTATGATGGGAAGACGATAATATGGGATGTAAGTTAAGTTGCTGTTTTTTTTTTTTTTTTTTTTCTCTGTTTCTGTGATTTTGACAGACATGTGCTGCTGCTTTTCCTGATATAATTGTAGATATGGGAAGGCATACCTATCCGCATATATGACATTGGGCGTTTTAAGCTGGTTGATGGAAAATTCTCCCCGTAAGTCATCATCTATTATCTATTAATAATAATAATAATAATAATAATAATCTCAACTTATCTATTATACTTATTCCCCCTCTGCATTCTGTTGTAATACATTACAGGGATGGGACTTCAATTGTGCTTTCAGATGACGTCGGCCAAATTTGCTTGCTAAGTACTGGACAAGGAGAGTCACAGAAGGATTCCAAATATGATCAGGTACCTGGCCCTGGTGACGACTCATGATGATATATGTATTTTTGTTTCTTAATTTTCACCATGACTTGACAGTTCTTCCTTGGTGATTATCGGCCTCTTGCAAGGGACGCTCATGGAAATGCCATTGATCAGGAGACACAGCTTCCTCCCTACAGAAGAAACATTCAGGATGCTCTTTGCGACTCCAGTATGCCCTATATATAATATATATTTCTACTGATTTCTTTCCAAACAAAATAAAAATAAAAATAAAAATAAATTTGTGTTTATGTTTATGTTGGAAGGCATGCTTCCATATCCAGAACCTTATCAGAGCAATTACCAGAGACGGCGGTTAGGTGCACTGAATTTGGAGTGGCGGCCACCATCATTAAAGTTTGCTATTGGGACAGATATCGGTTTGGGTGGTCAAGATTATCAAATATTGCCTTTGGCTGACTTGGATGTGGTGGCTGAGCCGCTGCCTGAGTTTCTAGACGCCATGTTCTGGGAACCTGAAAATGATGTGATTGTTGATAGCACGGATTCAGAGTACAATGTTACGGATGAATGCTCCAGTGAAGATGGGCGTGGTGATGGAAACACCTCAACCGATTCAGATGCAGATACCAGTCCAAGTGGAGGTGGAGGAGGAAATCACATGGATCATCATGATGATTCCCGTCGAAGATCAAAAAGAAAGAAACCCAAAGATGTAACTTTAATAACTACTACTATTGTTTTCTTCCAATCCAACATAATAATACTAATTGTTACCTTTTCAGTTGGAATGGATGACTTCTCTCGGAAGGGAAAGGCGTGGTGTTAGAAAGAGGAACTTTAACGAGCAGCAGCATGAAGGGAGAAGCAAACGAACAAAGAAAACAAAAAACAAGTCAAAGAAAAAAGAGCAAGTCACCACCCCATCAAGACCTCAACGAGCTGCTGCCAGGAATGGTAAGAAGTTGTCATCACAGAGCAGTGAGGATGATGTGTCAGAAGATGATTCCTCAGAAAGTGAGACATTTATGGAGGAACCCTTACCATTACCATTACCATCGATTAGCCAATCACCAGCACCAGAATCGAGAAAGAAACTGGTGCTCAAGTTTTCACTTTCAAAGAAGCCACAAGCTTCTGAAAATACCAATACTTTGAGACTTGAAGAAGAAGAAGAAGAAGAAGAAAGCTCAAGACCAATCATAGTTAGTGAGCCTGAGCCTGAGCCTGAGCCGGAGCCATATCCATCAACATCAACAAATGGGTTGGATGGACGCAGGCCTACTAAAATAAGAATTAAACCAATGATAAAGCTTGGTGGAATGAAAACAGAAGCGGATGATAATGAAGTAGCTCAAAAGAGAAACACAATCAAGTTTAAGTTGAATCAACATAATAGTGGTAGTCGGCAGATTAGTTCAAATGCCAATGATTCATCTGAGCCTGAGGGCAGAACAAGATCACTCAAGTTTAAAGCAATTTGCCATGATGATGAGAAGCCGAATCTGATCCCTTTCAGTAGCACTAGTAAGTCGGATGGAAAAACCAATTGGCTGTTATTGTCGGCTGAAGAAGAGGGGTGTCGCTACATCCCTCAGCTAGGCGATGAAGTTGTATACGTCAGACAGGTAATGTAAATGTAATGGGATTTTTTTTATTTATTTATAAATTTCAGATGATTGATTGTTGTTTTTCAGGGTCATCAAGAGTACTGTATACGACATTCATCATCGGAACGTGGTCCATGGAAGGGAAACAGTATAAGAGACGTGGAGATTTGTTGGGTTGATGATGTTGTTTATGCGACTCTTGCCGGTTCTGGAGAGAGCTGCTGTAAAATAAAGCTTAGATTTACGGATCCTTCATCTGGGGTGTTTGGTAAAACCTTTACGTTGACTCTCCCAGAGTTGGTTGACTTCCCTGATTTCTTGGTGGAGAGAAGCCGTTATGATGCTTCCATAGAAAGGAAGTGGAGTGTCGGGGATAAATGCTTTGTATGGTGGAGAAATACAGAGGGAGGTGGAAGTTGGTGGGATGGTGAAGTTGTTTCAGAGGGTGATAAGAGTGTTGAGTTTCCGGGGAGTCCATGGGAAAGATTTGTTGTTAGGTATGCAGATGAAGCTGATGATGCTGAGATTAATCGCCATAGTTCATGGGAGCTTCATCCTCATAAAGATACCAGCCAATGGGAACAACCACCCCAACCCGCCCTTCATCCTCACATCAGGAACACCATGCTCTCTTTGCTTTCTAACCTACACCACTCAGCTTCAGCTAGGAGGGGTAATCAGGTACCTACCTGCTTAATCTTGTTTCTTTTGAATCCACACAAGCCAATCAATATCTGATACATGGCATTTCATTGCAGGATCAATTTGGGATCATCAAGTTAAAACACAACTCACAGAGAATAGACTTTATAAATAGGTTTCCCTTCCTGCATAACATGATTTAATTTATTTGCTCCTCAAATCTAAAATCTGAACATACAAATATTGATGTTGATTTTAGGTTTCCGGTTCCATTGACTCTGGAGATCATTGAGCTCAGGGTAAACAACCATTACTATAGAAGCTTTGAAGCCATGAAGCATGACATCACAGTGATGCTATCGAATGTGCGTGCCTATTTTTCAAACAATGCAGAAATGTCCGCAAAGATGGCACGCCTGTCAGACTGGTTTGAAAGAAAATTGTCAAAGTTGTACAACACAACACAGGATCTTTTATAACCTATATATATATATATATATATATATATATATATATATATATATATAACTAGGTCATAGATATAGCTACACATCCATTTTAGGGGATGACAGAGTCTTTCAAGCATCTTTTCTTTTCTTGAAAACAAACCGAGGAGAGGAGTACTTGGTTTGTACCAACATTAATCCAACTTCATTTTCTTCAATCAGTAAGCATCTTGTGCTGATTTAGCTTAGTAAAGGAGTGGTTTGGAATTTGGATACATGAAAATCAATTCTTCCAGTTTGTTTGCTTCTTTGCCTTGTGCATACATACACTGTTGTGTTGTTAATCCAATGATGGGGATGTCATAATCCGTTTTATCAGCCTTGTTGCTTCACCTTGCAGCCAAAACTTCTTTTTCATATATATGATATATATCATATGAATCAATTCATAAATTAAGCTAACAAAATATTAGCAAAAGTAAATCAATTCATAAATTAACCCTAATAAATATTACCAATAACAAATTTTTATATCCTTTTTTTTTTCTTTCCATATCATGTAGAAGGCAAAAAGTAAGAATAGAAGAAGCTGCAGAACATGACTGATTGCCAATTAATTATTGTATGTATATATATTTTTTTCAATTTAATAATTAATAATATATCGACTTTTATTGTTATATTTTAAATTGAATTTTGGTTGCAAATAATGCTATTTTGGCACATTCAGAAACGGAGTTAAACATAGGTGGAATAAAACTCCACATATTTTTAGTAGATAGATGAGATGAAAACAAAATCCTTTCATTCCCTATATTTTTCTACAATATATGGTTAGACAAATGTAATAACCAGTGTTTGTCTCATAACTACTACCAATACCTACCTACAAGGCTACACGAATCAAGAATTAACTGAAAATGGTTGTGCATACTTAAATTTGCAGACTAGCCGATTTTGATTATGTATCAGATTCTTCTAATAGATCTTGCAGTTTTGTTTGGTTCACCAACTAATTAGAACAAAACAATCTTGAGAGTTTATTTCCAAACTGGTTTCAAAGAGAATTGCCAAAACAATAGAGGATCATTTTCTTCTGTCAAGTATTCTTTCTTTTCCGTGTTAAAATTTAAACCCAAACTGAGATTGTATTCTAAGCCCAACAATTAAGTACCGAAATCATTTTCTTCTGTGGAGTTCTTGAATCGCTTTCAATATCTTCTGCTCGGTTATTGGTTTGGATATATTAATGTTAATTCCCGCTTCAATAAACTTGTTTAGTTCTTGGCCCTCTGCATGTGCTGTTAATCCAATGATTGGGATGTGCACACCATATTCTTTCTCCTTAACTCTTATCAGTCTTGTTGCTTCACAACCATCCATCTCCGGCATCTACAAGTTATATATATATATATATATATATATATATATATATATATATATATATATATATATATATATATATATATATATTCATAAGTGATAGATCCGAATTTTTTTAGAGAAAAAAAAGGTGGAAAATTCCATACCTGACAATCCATAAAGATATATTCATACGGCAGAATATGTGAAGCTCCGAGATTTGTTTGATGACTTAGCCCTTTGGAGACCATGTTGAAAGCTTCTTTCCCGTTTCTGCACATCTCAAAACTCACGCCAAGCTTCAAAAGGATCTTCTTGGCTATCATCTGCTGCAGAGAATCATCTTCTGCCACCAACACTTTTTTCCCTCTCAAAGGGCTGCTGCTACTTTCAATTTCTTCTTCTTGTTTTGTGATTTGATGATGATTTGCAATTGGCGGTGTGCCGGGGAAGTTCCCCCCAAATTCTGGAAGAAGATGTATCAACGAGTGTAGACGTGAGCCATGGAGCGGCATGGGTATGATGATGTCAGACGGGGGAAGCTTCTTCTCGTCGAGGCCTTGGAGTTGAATGCACTTAGAACCTAACCAGACGATTCTGATTCTAGAACAGGAATTCTTGGAGTCTTTTCTGAATTCAGCAACTGCTTTGCATAGCTCATTGAAGTCAACCCGTGTTGTATCGATCACAAGCAATATGAAATTTGGTACACGACGACCTGTTTGATTATTATTATTATTCCTTTGTGGGGTCGGCGACACATCAGTCCCATCCAATGCGCTTAAAGGAACTCCAACTCCATTTGATGTTGGTGTGGGTGTGGGCCAGTTGAGGTACCCAAAACTTAAACTTAAATCAGATGATGATCTGTTTTGTTCCTCTTCTTGTCGTCTAAACTCCCGGAGACTTTCTGATAGTTGTCCTATGTTTTTCACTGCTAAAACTTTAATTCCTTGAGCTGCTATAAAATTTTGTGCCATCTTTCGCCTTTCATCACTGCTAATGAAGAGAACAACTATAGAAGAAGAAGAAGAAGAAGGAGGAGGAGAGCTTTTCACAGTCTTGTCGTCTTCACTGAGATCAGATACACAAACCTTAAACACAACATGGAACCTGAAGCATGTGCCTTTTTCCCCCACTTCCTTGTCAACTATGCTTATCTCTCCGCCCATCAGTCGTACCTGCAATTAATCGTTCAATATCAGATCTTTTTGTTTACTTGAGAATGAGAATGAGAATGTTAAATGTTCATGTTACCAGAGACTGGACGATTCCAAGGCCTAAGCCAGTGCCTTCAATTTCAGGACCCGTTTCTTTGACCTGAACATAGTTTTCAAAGATAGACGCTTGTTTCTCTTTGGGAATACCTTTTCCAGTATCGTCGACTTCAAATACGAATTCCATGGAATTAGGATCATCATGGTCATGGAATTCATCTATACGCGCTTCGGTTCTGAAAAATAAGCAACATCCTCCTCCTCTTGTAGATTCTTCATCATGTGTGTACTGTAATCCACGCTTCCTGGCCCAAGCGCGGACAGACACATTACCCTCTGAGGTAAATTTGATAGCATTGCTGAGTAAGTTGGACAATATCTGTTTAAGCCTGCCTTCATCCCCTTTGACATGAGAATATTTGATCAAAGAAGCATCCAAAATCACATCCACTCCTTTTTTCAGACCAACAGGATAGAACAACTCAACCACACCCTCAACTACTTTTGTCAAGTCAAACTCTTTTTCTTCTAGCTCCATCTTCCCAGCTTCTATTTTACTTGTATCAAGAATAGAGTTGAGTATACCTGATGAGATTGTATGATTGATTAGATTAAACATACATTCTTATGAGTTAATTATGAAATGGTTGAGAGCTTACCATAAAGATCTCCTGAACATATCTGCACAAGTTTCAAGTTTTTAGCTAATTCTGATCGTTGATCGACCTCGTTGATGGACATCTCTAACAATCCAGCAATGCCTGCTAATGAAGCACGGATATCATGGCTGGCAGTAACAAATGCAAGACTCTGATTCATGCTCTTTCTTTCTGCTTCTTGTGTTGCTCCCTTCTGTTTTATAAGAGCAGCTCTTAGGCACATCTCTTTTTTTGCTGCTCTCACTGTTAACACCACGAAACTGAAGATAGAGATGGCAACAGTCACAAACAGCAGTGAAAGAAGCAACAAACCAAATACTATATTCTTATGCATCCTGCTTTCTACTCCACCAATACCATCATATGGTAATGCCAATACATATACCTGAAACATTCCATAATTCATGTCAAGAAGAAATCACATGCATATAACAAAAAGAAAAATGTTGAGGAGCATTTTTATACCAACTCCATTCCATCAAGGGAGGAAGAGTAGTACAAGATATATTTTGTTCCTGAAATCGTTAAAACATGTGATTCCGGACCATGAATATTCCCATTCCATAGCTGAAAAGATATTGTCTTATTCCCCTCCAGCTCCAGTTCACGTAGAACAACATTACCATCTTTTGTAGCCAAGTACAAACCTCCACCAGAAGGTTTTATGCCATTCATTAACGATTTGAGATGAAAGCCAAGTGAGATGACTCCTCCATTTTTATCCACACCAGCTGCTGTATTCAAGACAAGCAAATCATTGACATCATTCAATGACTTCCCTAATGAAGCTGAAGCACATCCATTTGTAGAATTCAAAGCTTGTTGTAACCACGTTTCATTAACCAAAACTTGAGATGGAAACACAACTGCATCTCCATACAACTTCCCTGTATCCGAATCAATAGGCTGAGTGTACCATGAATAACCGTTTCTAGAAAACGAAGTGTTGGAATAAATAGCAAATATATGCTGTTGGTTAACGTTGTTGGAGTATAATAATGCAAAAAGCAAGCCATCTTGTCTGATATATGAAACTTGTGACAGGTGTGGGATCGTTAACAGTGCTTGAAACAACAATGGAGACACTTGAGATTCTATGTGAGAGAATGAGATCAGGTCTGTTTTACTTTTACCCAGAGAAACGGTTGCAAGTTTAGCTAAGTTGGTTGCTGATGATTTCATTGGAAGCAATGTGGTTGCTGCATGTTGTATGACAGACCATGTTTCTTCATGAGATTTCTTGGTCATCAAATCGACTTCTTTTTCAATTGCTTTGATTTTTAAAATCCAAAATGGGATTATTAAGGTAGGAAGCAGTAGGCTTATTATTGCCTACAGATTCGTTAGGACAATGGTGAGTTAACAATAACCAAGTTGAAATCTTGAAGACGGTTTATATATTGAGTTGTGAGAGAAAATTAATTACCAATAGGATGAAGAAAGATATTGGGTTTGATGTGATCATTTTGTTGAGCTTCATTCAAGTTTTTGGTGATTGAATTGACACTTTGATGACGTATTTAATTCCAAGATCTGTAAGAATATATCCGAAAGATGAATTCTATAATGTTTTAACTGGTGGCCAAAACCAAAACTTAGGAATAAAAGCATATAAACAAGTTTAATTTTGTTCAATGACATTTAAAGAAAGTTAATATGAAATATTCTATCATTGGGAGTTTGACTAAGCTTTTTAAAACAACTTATTATGGTTTCACACCACTATAAGTTAAAAAAATGTTTGGATGAAAGTAACTTATCCGGTGGGAACCTCTAATAAGTCATTTTTTCATAAGTTACCCTACACTTACTTATTAACTTATAAGCTAATAAGTTATAAGTTATAAGCTAATAAGCAATGACAAACACCCCCTTAGTGTATTAAGATCAGTTTCATTCATTTAAGTTTTAGCTTTTTTGGATTGGCTGAACACTAGGCATATATGTATTAATATCCAAAACAATCGGTTGGTTTCATGTTTTCGCCGTCAATAATCGATTTTTGTTTTTTGTTTTTTTGTTTTTATTTTGATGTACACTTACATAACATAATTTACTAATAGTTAACAAAATAGCAAAATAGAAGCGGAACACAAGCATTGAAAGTAGGGGGCCGAAATCAAAGACTTTAAAACGTAGCTATATAAACAAGTTTAATTCGGTTTAAAGTTATAACATATCAAGACAAGCATTTTTAATATCGGTTATCAAAAACACCATAAAATTATTTTCATCCAAAAAACATCTTTGAGCGGGTTTTGATGTTTTCGTACATAGTTTGATGTTTTCTTTGAAGAAACACATCACTAGTAAATTGTTTTTTCATGTTGCTATATATTACATAGCGAAGTTAACTAATAATTAACAAACTAACAAAATAAAATAACAAATAACATAGTCTAACAAACAACTTTTTACGAACGATGATGATAATGATAACATAAAAATCTTGAAAAGCAACATATAATTTTTTTCATCTTAAAAACAATATTAAATTGTCTAAAACCATAGATATCAAAATAAACAAAAAATGTATATGCATTGATTGTAGTTATTTCACTCTCGTACATAAATTATAAATAAACATTTTAGTGGTATTTTTATTGTTATCAGATTTTTTATTTGCTCTCAATAATAATAAATAAGAATTAAAGTAATATATTGTTTAGTATTTTGCAGCTTTTCAGTTTAGACCTTTTCATATCTGATATCTCCCAATATGCATTGATGTATTGAGAGACGGAAAGATAGAGAGAGAAAAAGACAGATTGTCTACATACGTTTAGTCAGGCGGAGGAGACCGAAGAGAAAGCGGTAACGGGCGGAGCACACAGCGGAGTTTAGTGATGAGTATTCCGACGACTTCTCGGAGAGTAGAGAGAGTATACGGAAGAGGATATCAATCCGACGACTTCTAGGAGAGGAGAGAGAGAGGGAGAATATATGGAGGAGGAGATCAATCCGACGACCGGTGCTAGTCCGGTGTTCTTCTTCTGGTTAGGTTTGAGAACTTCTTTTTCCGGCGGCGGCAATAATTTTATAGGGTTTATTTTTTTCTTAAATTCAAAGCTTCAAAATTTGAGTTAAAAGATTGTAAATTCGATTAGATATTTTTTTTATATAATTTCCTTATTTTAATTTCAAAGAAGGTTAATTTTAATTTTGTTAGTGATTTTTTAAACTTTTTCTTGCATATTGTTTGATAACTAACATCCGCGTACACCAGTGAACTTAAAAACGGAGGGGCAATTACTAATTAGTCACTTAATTGATTATTTTATTACTAAATTACCATATGTAATAGGTATTAGAAACCCAAAAAGCAGGGGGCCATGGCCCCTAAGAGCATTAGAACTCTCACAATGACTCTCTCGCTGATCTCAAGTTTTTGTTAAATGTTTGTTTTATACTAAAGTTTCAAGATCATGTTGTTTCTAATAAAGAGCTAGAATGTCATGATTTTGAAATGAACACCTCTTGCCTTGCATATCTCATCGAAAACTTTGTGTTGATTTTATTTTCTCGTGGGGTGGTTGTATTTGGTAATGTTAGAAGAAGAAAGTGAAAGCATGCACTAGGGTAATTTGGTCAAAGCATAGTTTAAACTTTAAACTATAAAGTTGTTGATTGGATATGGTGACCTGCCACTACTAGAAAAAGGTTAATAGAGTACGGTTGAAATTATGAATATAGTACGTACATAGAGGACGTATTAGTAGAGGGGTGTATTAGATTACATGCATAATAGAGTACGACTATTTAACCGTACTATATGTATCCTATACCATCGCATACAATCATTACATACAATCACATCTAATACGCCATATATACACATCTAATACACCAATACACAACCGTACTTGATGTCTCAAGTATCATCTAATACGCCATATATACATATCTAATACACCTACACAACACATCTAATACACCAATACACAACCGTACTTGATGTCTCAAGTATCATCTAATACGCCATATATACACATCTAATACACCTACACAACACATCTAATACACCTACACAACCGTACTTGATGTCTCACATTCCCATTCCTTCCAGCCCATTCCGGCTTTGCATTTCAGCCTTATTAATCAGCCAATTCCACTCCATGGATGCTGCGGAACACATGGATCACCATTCCAACTATTCCAACTGAAACAAACTCTTCAATTTCTGCAAAGCTTTTACCATGTGAATTGTAACCGAATGATCAATATCTACAAAATACAAACCTACTATATGATTCCATTCTAACCATAAGAAGTGGGACATCACTGATCATGTTTTCATTTTAAGAAACAGAAAAAAAAAATTACAATAACCATTTAGTTCATTAAACATAAAAACATTAATATTCTTTCAGATTACAGTCTATATAATCTAAAAGACTATCATTTGTATACCTAATTCATTAAACATAAAAACATTCTTAAATTTGTTAATGTCAAACCTCTGACCTCTCGTTCCCCTTTGTGGCGAATTCATTGTATGCCTACAAAAACAAGAAAACTTAGGATTCAAAATCTCAAATAACTTTTAATGAAGAAAACTCAAATTATAGGACCTTCCTGCCATTAACAACTTCATCTATAGCAATGCAAGGGTGAAAACTTCTCCACAACATACAAAATATGAGCAAATACAACATGAAATACAAAGGATGTTTGTGTACCTCCATAACAGCAACCTCCATAACTCGAAATCTGCAAACTTCCACAATAAAACACAAAATATAGCATCCTACTTTTATATATCTCATTTTCCAAAAAAAAAACTTTCGTCCAATTCCTCACTAGAAAATGGTTTTTTGAAAAACATAACCAATTATAACAATGTATATAGAAGAACTAACCGTTAACTTGAAAAAGGCTTCACTTTATCACCAAAAGTTCTCATCCATGTTTTAACACGTTCGTCCAATTCCTCACTAGAAAATGGTTTTTTGTCCTTCCAAATGTTCTACAAACAAATTAAGATAAAAAATTTGTTATTTAACAAAGGTGAGCCTGTAGTACAATAAACAAAAATGCAAAAAAAATATCTAACAATATACTTACTTTCGGAAATCCATGTTGTCGAAAAAGTACAAACTCATGCATCCAGTTCATAACGTAGTAACCACACTCCCAATCGGACAATTCTAAATGCATCTTTCTACTCAATAGTGCAAAGGTGGCGACTCAGGGGAGAAGAAACTCTCTCTTCATTTCTGATGATTGGTATGTAAATTGCCTCAGATTCTCAAAATCGACTTTATTTATTAAAATTCTGACATGGAATTTTATAAAACATTTTAGTAATTCAGCTGTGTTGACTTGTTTTCGAGCCAAATGTGGATGGAAAGGGAGCACAACACACGAGTAAATATTCTCATTTTTCACTACTTTTTTTTCTTCATTTAACTGTTATATTGACCTAATATTTCTCTTATTCTTTAATTTCAGGCTTTTGCAGATGTTAGATCAAGTTACAAAAGGATGAATGCACTCCCTAAAGTGAAAAAAAATTAAGGAACTCACAGAAGATGAATTGAATTTGGAACCTTTGTGCAAAGATGTAGAAATCTTTTCTCCTATTCACTTTTCTTTTTTACTTACAGAAGGGTAAAATGGTCATTTACTCATTTACTCACATTAAGACAGTTGATATTATATGATTATATCTTGTATTTGTGAATTAGTTACTTGAATATTTTTCTGAAAGAATGATATCTGAAGAGACATTACGGAGAAATCATGTCATGCAAAGAAGATATGAAAAACAGGTAGAAAGAATTTACTAATTTACAAAACTACCCTTCTTCTCCATGTACTCTTTGTTAACTTTTTTCCAATTGTGTATGCAGATTGTTATTGCATTTACTTATAGAAGAAAAAAAGAACTTGTTAGTTGCAAATACAGAGATATCTCAAAGAAATTCTGGCAGGTGAAAATCGATATATCAAAACTTACTATTTATGGTAAAAATCGGTTGACTAAAGTCAAAATTGACATTTTTACCCTTTTAGGAAAGTGATACTGAAAAGATATTATATGGACTTGATGATATATAAGGAGCAAGTGATATCATCATAGTAAGTTTTCACTTTTTCATCTTGAAATACATAATCTTTTTTGGTGTTTCTAATTTTGATTCATCAAAATATTATATATTTATATATATATATATATATATATATATATATATATATATATATATATATATATATATATATATATATATATATATATTTATAAAAGGTGGAGGGTGAAATGGACAAACTTGCAATGGAAGAAGCTGGTTTTAGAAACTGTGTGAGTGTTCCTGATGGAGCTCCTCCAAAAGTAAACTAACACATATGGGCTACTTCTTGAAATATAATAGTAACCATTAGTAAATAATGTTGAAAAGAGTGATCATTCCACAAGAGAAGGTTCTTACTTTTACCTTTGTGATATCAGGGACAAATAAGATCCAT